AGTCAGTCTGATTCAAACTTTCCGGCGGGTGGCGTCTGTCGGCGGATGTTCTTGCGATGCCTGGCTTCATGCAGCTGCTTGGTGCCGTGCGAATCATCAACGACTGCACCAACATGAGTTCGCAGCCTTGCTGCGAACAAGTACAAGTTGCCAGGAAGTGGTGATGCCGTCCCTGCCAGTGCTTCGTCTGTGGGTCGCTAGATCCTTACTGTCCTTACATCGCACATGTCCCACCCGTTCCACAAGACGGCCGCAGTCGATCGCACAGCAGCGCGCAGCATGGTGCTATTGACACAGCGTGATAGGTCCAGCACGGGGTCGGTCTAGCCATGTCAAGAATCGGCGAACTTCTGTCCACTTGAACTTGCTGCTATTCTCGTGCAAATCTTACATCGTTTCGAAGATGTCGCTCAGAGCTGTCTTCGCCCCTGTGCCTGCCAATCTGCGTGGAAATTCTTCCCAGACGGTGTCCCGAACCCAGTCTCCCGGTAGGTGTCGGTTACGGTTGCCCGAAAGCCAGCGAACGTGAACCAGTAGCTGGCCACCTCGAGATTCCACACAGGTTGCCCCACATGCATCTGCTGCCGACGACCAGAAACCGGCACTGAGTGAAAGTGTTCCTTTTTCAGGTATCTCGGTATCTCGCGGTTCTCTTGCTGACGGTCTCCAACCACGACAAGACTAGCGGCCAGCCGCCGCCACCCGCCGCAACCACCATCACAGTCGGCAAGAACGACTGAACGTTATGACTTTTCCCAGTAACTGGAATGACCTTTTCTCTGGGATTGCTGGCTTTGTTCACACAGTGCTGCTTGGGAAACGCAGCGTGCCACGAAATATCTGTCAGCTTGAGCTTCTGCACCACTGGCAACGTGAAGCCAGACGAGGCTTTATCCCAGGCAGGTCCGTCGCTCTGGTCCTCCTCTGCAACTTATTTGGGCCTTGGCATGGCAGCACAATTTCACATGGTAACCTTGTCAACTGCACGATCACCTGCTCCAGCCGGGGACGTCAACTCTGCGGGCGCTGCGGCAGCTCCCGGAGTTGGAAAGGGGCTACAAAAGAAGCCGCTAGTGTACAACAAAAGGCCCAGGGGTGGAATAAACGACAGGCCCAGATAACAGGAACCATCCTCAAAGGTGAACATGAAAAACTCAGGATTCCAACCATGCATGCCGAGGTTGAGACATGAAGGGCATCGTTGTGCCAGGAGAAAAACAGACTTAGGAGGCGCTTCGTCTTTGAGTCAGCCGGATTTCGCTCGCATGGCATTTGCTAAGGCCCCTGTCAAGGTTTACAAGAGTGTCATAATAAGGTTTAAACAGTTTCTTTTTAAGGTTTTAATTACAAGATTTTCACAATGGTTTACTAAAGCACGACAACTTCTTCTGCAAGGTTATGGGCACGGCCCCGAAGCTCGAAGACCAAATCCTCCAAGCCGGATGCGTCCTCCATTTCTCCAAGCAGAGCTACGGCCAACCTTGACACTCATTGGTTTCGGATTGTATAGCTAACTGGCCACGATTCGAGCTCCGACACAGAGTCTCCTTACAGCTTGCATGAAACAGGGCCCACGGAAAGGCAGTTTACCGTTCGACAAGCCGGAGGTCGACTCTTGTCTAGGCCTAGCGGTCAGGCCCTGCGTTGCAGAAGGCCTGGGCATAGGGCCAAGGATAACAAGTGGCTCTAGGGCAGCAAAGGCTTTTGATCTTCTCAGCTGAGCCGAAGCTTCACCGAGCCAAGCCGCCAACCCCCAGACTCTCAAATCCAGGCGCAGGAACAGAACTACGGAACAACACCCCATGTTGCAATTATCGCACGGTTCAAAAACTGGAATCATCAAGCGCAGGCCGATAAGAATGTTTGTGTTGAAAAGCCGCTAGAATGAAAACCTGACCTCGAAACCCCAGACCTAATCCCCCACTTACCGCGAATTCCCTAGTGTCCTGTGCCAAGATGCTGCCAGGCTGCGCCTGTGCCGCAAGCGCTCATAGCGCTTCCATAGCCTCGAATGCTGCTTAATGCCACGATGCCGAGGGTGACGGCCATGATATGGTGATGGTCATGGGGATGGTGTCTGGTGTACCTCATGACGACGAACACGCAGATGCCGCCCATGGTGGCAACGACTGAGCTGACAGATGCATGGAGACAACAACGACGACTTTGTCTTGTCTTGTCTTGTGTGCCGCTTGAGTCCGTCAGATGAACTCGTGTCCGAGCTCTACACAGCCGGAGTTGCGCACACACTCTCTTGGCATGTGCGCATGATGCCAGAAGAGACTGAAGCCAATGAACAACGACGACAGCTGAGGAGACAACGATCAAGCGTGGATAAATCAAGCTTTAGGCCACCGAGCCCTTTACGCTTCAGTGTCAATGCCGAGGGACTCTGGACATCTGGAATGAGAAGGTCCTCCTGACAACACATGATCATCTACGGCCGCAAAGAGTCAATGGTGTGGGTGTGATAGCTCAGTACTAAATTACCCTGCTTCGACGGTCCTTCAGGGCCTGCAGCAGCTGCAGCGAGACTTGCCAATGGCCAGACTTGTCGCACACGTCCATGGTGCTGCAGTACCTCGGTGCAATGGCGAAGCTGCAGTTCAGCACGCGCTCTGCCAGGAACTGCGCAGAATGTTGAACAGGTGTGCTATACTGTGCTGCTCGACTCTGTATTAAACATGGATCGACGCTATGTAGCTCTGGGGATTCTACGTGTTTTTTTTTTTTATCGTCTGCGTACTGATCGCTACTTGGCTCGCTTTGACATTGACGGCCACCATCACCTTCTGCACGAAATATGGGATACATTCCTGAGAGAATGCGGCTGTAGTGCATCAAAAGCAATTACACCCGCACCCCTGCCCACGTCACAATGCTGATGATGATGACGACGGCGGAGCCGCTGCCGTTGATGATAATGATGGTTACAGTGCACAGTAGCGTTTTTCGGATCATAGCAGTTGTGCTACGAGTGATAATTTTAGATGGTGGCAGAGGGGGTGGTGGTGGTTCACCAACAACGACATCATCATCAGGCTGTCTTCGCCACTCATCGCTTTCGTGAGCATCATCCCCCATCTCATTTCCCAGATGTCACAGCCGAGCAGATTGCCAGGGCACGTGATCTGGTCCAAGGGCACGGCCTGCCTGCACATTTCCTCAGGTTTTGTTCCCCTTCGGCGCTTCGGGCCCTCTCTGGCACACAAAACAAAGTACAGAACCTCGACCATTAACACGCTCAGTAGTATATATATATATACTTTACACTCTAGGTTAGACTCCTCTCTATCATACTCTGGGCTGCACTCTATATACAGCCCTTTCACTCTACAGTACGAAGATCTGTAATGCACTCTACACTCTATATATACTCTGTACTACAGTCTATATTATACTCTACGACACTCTACGATACTATACTACACTACGTACTGCACGACATACATTACTAGAAAATATACTGTAATATATTATATACGATGTGCTAAGTAATATTATGCGATATACTAGCTAACTATATACTGTGTGATACTATATGACTATATATATATATATAATACTATATTAACCTGTATAGTACCGTCTTTTCTACGTACGAATACAGAAATCAACTACTTGCGTACTGAATTCTGTGCTATCAGCTATATTGTAGTAAAACATTATCGACAAGATTATACAAAACTATACTCCGCGAACCGACGCTAACAGCACTGAAACCGGTCTCGACTTGTCTCCCATCCTGCCACACATTACCCTCGGTCAAACTGAACAAGAACCCATCGTGATTTTCCGTGCGATGTGCCAATCACGCGGGATAGTCCTGAATATGTACGCTTTGGGAGAAGCAACACACTTCGATGGAGGTGCTGCTGCGCAGCGCCATGCTGGATGCGGTATTTGGCACGACACCCGCTAAGCCGCTAAGCTTCTAGAAGCCTTATAGAAACTAACGACTGATTACGCTTCTAGAAGCAAATCAATACACTCATCTACTAAAGCACTCTCGCACTGACGCTTTCAACGCGAATATAACACGCACCCAACCCCTGAAATAATTCCCTTTTGCAACTGGCCTGCTGCGACTCCGCAAGGACGAACACTTGACCACAACCACTTAGTGAGTAAGTGACTCGTGCGCTCAGGCCAAGCATCCGGAATGATTTCACATGTAACTACAATCTGCCGAAGTTTAAAGAGCTCTAACGTCACCGCATGCAAAATGCATGCATGCATGTCATACTGAGTATGCGTGAGACCCACCTGAACGCTAAAGAAATCATGTTCCATGCGCAGATGTAGGATGCATGCGATAATCGAAGTCGAGTGCACTTCCAGACCCAAGCTCCAGTGCTGAAGCCCTTCACACTTCCCTGCTTCCGTCAACCAAGTATAGACATGAACACGGCCAGGAGTCTGCAAAGGTAGTCAGCGCAGGTTGCCAGTGATCTCTCTTGCCAAAGGCCTTGCGAGCGCTGGGCGGATTTGCACGCTTTGGACTGCCTGCCAGTGTGTTGATTTTTTGACGTGCGGGCATGCGGCCTCCTGTGCTGCATGGTGTATCGACCTACTGAGTGGAGATCCAATGAGCTTTCCTGACATCATGGTCTCCAGGTGTTGTAAGAGCTTATCGACAGTATGGGAGACTTCGGGCACAGCCCATAAGCAGTCAAGGGATCGATGCTAGAGCTCGATAAGCCGGGGTCATGGCTTTGGGGTTCGGCATTTATTATGGGTGGTCATGTAACCCTTCTGGTTCCAAGCCCGGGGAGTCCTGCCGATTAAATGGGATGTCTTCTTTAGAATGCTTGTCGCGTTTCACCTGTTTGCTTCAGCATCGAGTCGAAGTGTGAAGTGAAACGCCTAACCTGTCACAAGACTTGTCCATGTAGTGTCTGTGTCTTGTGGGGCGGCACTTGAAAACTCTCCAGGAGGCACGGGTAAAGAGTCGGGTTCAAGACTAAATCAGCACAACTTGGAAAGACAGGTGGGGATTAATAATTGTAGGGCATCGTCTGCGCATCCTTAGCTACAAGTACTAACTGTTAGTCTTTGTAGCTAAGGACTCACTGACTCAGTTTACTTCAAGGCACTGAGATCTCTCTCCAATGCGCTGCAAAGGATATTTGGCAGACATGACACTTACAGTGTTACAAGAAGGGAGTAGCTTTTTCTTCGTTGGTTTTCGAAAATGCAGATATGTGGGTTCGAAGTTTCCGATGATTTCGGGTTCACCAAAGGCACACAAGGGGAGCGTTTACGAGGAATGCTAAATACAAAGCCTCACGGCTTTCGGAAGAACCGTCACCAAACATGTACGGCGTACGGGGTGCAGGAGGTGCTTGTGCCATTCACCGGCTAGTAGACACAAAACAAACCAAGCAGCAACATGTGGTTAGAAATAGATACTGCGTAGTAACCAGAACTGGATGTGCTTGTTGGCACCCTCCCGACTCCATCAATCCACTAAACCAACCAAAGGGGCCGGGCTGCACGAATCAAAGCGGTATAGCATCGCTGGTCTGCTTGTACCATTGCTACGTGCATCTCCTGCCCATGGGTTGCAATGGGCTTACTGACTCTCCGTGAGAGTTTAGGTCTAGAGAGCCCTACCACTAATAGAACATGCCAGCTCTCAGGGTGAAGTGCGACTGATGGGAGAACTACCAGCCATACGAGCAATCACATCACTGTGCCACCAAGAATTTACGCAACGTGGTATCTCTTTCTGCTTGCCAAATGATGCAAGAGGACGACATCGCCCTGCTCTGGCTTCAGGATTGAATACTGCTTCCGGGAAGCGAGGAGTCCTCCTTAAAGGATACAGCACACACCCGAAACATCCGTCCTCAAGGTATTCACCCGTAAACCCTTAAGTCCCAAACCAGAAGTCCAGCCAAAAGACCCCACACACCCTCCTGCGCATCGACAGCTAAACCCCAAGAGCGCATAAACCTATAGAACCACGAAGGGTCGTTTTACGGGCTTCGTCTGATTTTTGTTGTGGCGGGGGAGGGGGCGCCACCTCGAAGAGGCGCAGCGCCACCTCGCAGAGTGGAGGGATCTCAGGTGGGTCCCGGAACTTACAAAAACAGGGTCTGTCTGAATCTGATTCAAGGCTTGCGGAGTTTAGCGATTGGATGTACCAGGTGATCGGAATAAACTGCCCCACAAAACGCCCCATGCAAGGCAGTATCAAATGTGGCACAGGGAGAACATGACGTAGGAGAGGGGCTTACCGAGCATCCTTTGGGCAGAACAGAAGTAAAGAAGGCAACCTTGGTCTTTGTAGATGCCGCTCTCTGCCCTGCACGAGCGCCATCGACAAAGAACAAGGTTGCCTTCGCTACTTCTGTTCGCATTCAAGGATGCTGGCCAAAGGAAGGTCCAACCAGGACTAATCGAAGTACGTACAGCAAAGACCCACAACCCAAATCAACCTCTAAACTTAAACGCAAAACCTGTCTTTCCTGCCGTGTCACACCCCGACATAGTCTTATCAAACATCCCACACCTCCAAACTCCCCCACATCACACAAACACGTCTGACAATCCCGACCAAGCTTAAAAAGGGACAGCTAGGATCCACTCTGCACTATGCAAACCTCCTCGAAAGCCGCAGTACTACCAACACAAGCTGAACGAACTCAGTTTGTGCGCTCCTTTAGGTTTAGGGTGTCCCTGGCTCTCAGAATTCTAAGCTCTAGGTCTTGGTGTCCGTTCTTCCATGTCGTGCGAGCTTGATCTTGCACTCACGAGCTCCGAAATGCGATTTCAGGGAGAGAAACCGGCTTGGAGTTTTGGAGTATTTTGGAAAATTTTGGAGTTCGGGCTTAAGGTAAAATGCCTGGAGACATTACGGTCAATCAATCTGATTGACTCCGAAGCTGCGAGCCTCCACCTGAGAGCCGTTACAACAAAGCTTCACAGCCAACTTCATCCAGCCTCCCAGTCGCCAGCCTGCTCGCAGCTCCCGAGGACTGTTCGGAAACCTCGCTCGAAGCGTCGGCTTGCGGCCCGGGTAGCGTAAGATTTTCGTCTAGAACTTAGGATGCCTAGGATATGTACTTGAGACGACGTCCTGAAATTTGACCCCCAAACCCTAAACATTAGCAGTAAGCAAAGAGGCCGATGATGTCAGGAACCAATGCCTCGGAGAAGAGTGGCGCCATGGGAGTTCAAACGACATTCAGCCGTTCAATTCAGGGTGTGAGCATCAGGGCTTGTTTGCTAAGGGGGGGGGGGGGGCCTCAGGGAGGGGAGCGTAGACTTCCATGAAGTGCCGAATAGTTTGGTAAAAACTATGGGCTCACTTCTTCCATATATCATATACACCGATCCTTGCGCTGACTCGGCTTGTCGCAGTTATGGTTTGTCGTCCGTAGTGCTTGTCGGCTTCTGGCATACCCAAACCCGACATACCTTCGGGGCCCGTGAAACATCCAAAAAACCCTACAGAAGAGCACCGAGGCACCCAGGACTGCATGGACACCAGCCTCGGCTAGCGTCTAGTTCTCGTGATCTTGAACTGAGCTGTGCTTAGTCGACATCGCAAGTCCCGAAACCGCTCCCCCAAAACATCCTAGAGCTCAGAAGCAGCCGCTGCGCAGCTTCCCGGTTCGTGCTGCAACAGCCGAGGGCGAGGTTGAGGCAGAGATGGTTCGGGCGACTCCTCAGAGGCTATGATCAGGTTTAGATTGGGGGAGGTTTGCCGTGTTGTGTTCGGATTTCAACTTCTGGGATTCTGGTGGATCGTAACTAACCGTATCTATGCGTACTGGAAGTTCAAAATGGAAAGCTGGATTCGAACCCGTGAACGCAACCGCCAGGCGCTAGGCCGCTAGCCTGCGTCCGGCAAACCGCTATGAACCCACCGACCGCAAAGAGGCTTCGGACTCGAAGAAAGTGTAGTGCTCGAGAAGAGTTCTCCCAGCACTACAACGAGGGGCCTGGATGTTTCGATTGAAACTTGTTGACAAGGGCGCTCAAAGTGGCACTGTTGTTGATGGTTGAGTTTCTTCCACCTACCCTGTCGCGCTCGCCAGCGACCCCACACCGACGCACCCTGTGATGGTATTTGCTTCAATAGAAGCACACGAGTTTGCATCGTAACTATCCGTAGTGAACATCCAGCATAGCCTGCAGACCTACCCATCGGCATACCTGCCAAAGTCTGTGGTGAAACCTCCCCATGCGGGAGGTGGGGGGGGGGGGGTAACTGAGCCCTGAAATGTTGAGGTCAGTTCGTTTTGCACCGCGTATGCCGCTGTTTCGTCTGCATCAGTGCTTCATCGTGGGAGATAAGAAACACGGTCTTGGGTTTTAGAACCGTTGGAAAACGCATGGTTTTTGCAATGTCAGTGTCAGCTAGTGTTGCGGATTCTAGACCCTAAGGCCCTAAGGTGCTTGTTACGCGAGAAGTAGTAGATTGAAAATAGCAACCGTGAACATGCCGATAGTACCACGCCTGCCACACGAAACTGAGTTTAATAGAGGCTTGGGAATCTGCATAAATCTACTGAAGCAACCCGTCGTGTGACATAACATGATGTCACATGATAGGAGATGACAGGACATGATATGCTGCGAAAGAACGACACACGAACGGACATGAGATGATGCGAATTGGCATCTCAGACGACGGGTTGCTTCAGTAGATTCTCAATCCTATGTTACACCCTGTTTGGTGTGACAGGCGTGGTACTTTCGGCATGTTCGCCAGTGTTACCTACTACAAAGAACTGCGCGACACTGACCTGAACAATTCACCCTGAAATGGTGAACGAACAGAACCAAGCCTGGCACAAGGGAGTTTTTGGGTTGCACGGGCACATGGACAGTTGAGTTGCCGAGAGTGGCCCATGAAGGCCAACATGTGCACAGCCAATGGCCACTGACCCGACCTCCTGCATGCGGCTACTTGTAGTTGGAATTAATGGCTGAGTAAGTTAGTATTTGGAGAATGTCAGATTTAGTAGTTTTCGGCTTCGGCATTTTCTTGCATGTTGAGCGAGTCGGATGCTAAATACGGAAGCTCCCCGCTTCAGGCTGACGGAAGCAAAGCCTGCACCGCCCCTTCCGCGGAGGCAGCTCCATCGGATCCGGTAGGTGAGGGCTGATTTACATACAACAATGAAGCCCACTCTTCAACATTCTTTGGTGGGGTTGGAGTTGCAGCTTTCGACGCTCCGCAAGCGCAAGCTTCACTGCAACAAAAAGCATGCCTCGGGCGAACCCTGAGACTGAGATGCTCACATGAGGGTTTCTGTAGTCCCATGTGAATAATATACCGCTGGGCTGCGCAATGCAGGAACACGATCAAGATACGACTGAGACTTGTTAGGGCTCTAGACATACATTTTTTGGCACTCGCGCTCGACCAGGTCAGGCGAGGACTACGGCAGACCATACGTTACATCAGGTTCATCCCAAACCCATATCAGTGCCGGTACTAATATCAGGCATACATACATACATGCATGCATGCATGCATGCATGCATGCATACATGCATACATGCATACATGCATACATGCATACATGCATACATGCATACATGCAAACATGCATACATTTGGGTTTCAAGCATGTATGCATGCATGCATGTGTATACATATATATATATACATAACTATACATATTTATCTATTTATTTGTTTGTTTGTTTATTCGTATAGTAGTCCAGGTATCACGCGTAATTAGAACTGGAGGTCTTAAATTATCTGCGGGGAAATTCTTGTTTCTCTCCTGCAAGCGCCGATCGCCGCCTTGGGGCTCGCGGAGGTTTGTTGTTCAGAAGTTGTTCTGAAGGACGGTTGGGCAGGCTTATCGGACGGAGTGTGGCGCTCTAGGCTTGGATGAAACCTTTATCTCCAGGGTCTGGCCATGCGAGAAAATTAGGCATGGCATGAAGTTCCGGAAGCTGCCCATGGGAGCGCAGGGTGCCCACTCTGCTGCAACTTGCTACTGCGATTGTGAATGCACTTGCAACACGACTCGAGCCCCTGCTTCCACCGCTTCGCCCTCTGAAGGCCCAGCAATGACCTTTAGCTTCGAAGGTCCCTGCGTAGCTCCTATAGTAGCCTACAGTAGCCCCATCGGATTAATCCTTGAACTCCAAAGCCTCACCTGTGCCGTTGTCAGCAATGCAGGGTCGCCACGGTAGACATCTCGCAGACTCCAGGTAAAACCGTCCAGTGAATAGGACCGTGGAGCCCCACGATGACACAACACAAACCATCAAGACAGCCGAAACTCCGAAGCCCGCGAAACGGTTTAAGTTAACCCCTGCCTCAAACCCTGAAAAATCCTGAGCCGGCCGGCCGAACAGTGATGAGCGCTCGGGGTGATGCCACCACTGGCCATGGCCTGCAAAACCTTGGGAAGACTGCGGATCCGAAATTTCAGGTGTCGGGCTCGGCTGAGGCTGCAGGTTTGAGTTGTTTAACTAAAAGAGTTTAGATTCAAGCTCAGTCGAGCTTCTGGGTCACGGATCTGTTCGGAGAGCCTCGTTTCGGCACTGCCGGTTTTCCAGCATGTGGTTTCGGGCTGAAGCGTTGAGATGTAGAAGCCTCTACTGAAGTTGCTCGTGATGGGGGCTTGGGATTTGGCACACAGTTTCAGTGTTTGCTCAAGGCATGCACGCTTTCGTTGAAGCTAAGCTCCTTCCAGGTCACGTTTGCATCCCGAAGCCCTCAGTTACTTCAGACCTTACCAAGAGCTGCAACACATGCGCTGCTCATACCCCAAAACCCTATGCACAGCCAAGGCCGCAAACCTTGCACCCTCCACTCGACACATCAAGGCAGAGTGAACGGCCCCAGCGTGTTCCTTCCAGATTCCCTCTCCCTGTTTTACCACTGCCCCTCCTGAGCCCGCCTGCTCCCTCAGCACGGTCCCCGAACCCCAAAGAGACCCCGGCCTGCCATGAAGTCCAGGCTCGGCCCTCTGAGGCCAAGGACGTCAGAGCCTGGACTTCAAAAAGTTCCGGACTACGTAGTTCGGGCTTTTAAACTGGATCTCTGAGCTCGGAAGTAAGTGTGTAAGTGTGTGTGTGTGTGTGTGTGTGTGCGTGCGTGTGTCCTTGTTTAGGATGGTACTTAGGGGCTGGCACGCGGGCTGAGACGACCTGAATGAAGGCTGAAACAGTCGACAGCAGTGGCTGAAACCAGTTCATTCCGAGTGCATTTAGGCAGGAAAAGCAAAATCTGATTTTGGTTTCTTCATGTTGCTTTGGTGTTGGGGATTTCTGAGGTTTAGAACGACTTGCAGTGGAGCCTGCTCTGGCCCCAGAACAGCAATGCCCACTCTTCCCAGGAAGCAGCGCCTTTGTTAAGATTCTCGGGGCCACGGTGCCCTTCTGCAGCACCGGGGCGATGACCTGATCGAGGAAAGTTTCGGATTTCGGGCCTCTGCTACAGCACGGCAGGCCTTGTGGCGTTTAGATAATTATCCAGGATTTGTTCCCTCCGCCCTACACTAACTAAGCTCGGAGTTTTGTTGTGGCTGACCAATGCTTTCGGGTTGTGCGCTTCGAGATCTTTGGGAACCTCAGGCTTGGCTGCAGGATCGAACGCGCGGAATCCCGTCTCAATGAAAGCCCCAGAAACGCAAAGCCCCCAAACAATGAATAGCAGCTGTCATTGAGACTGCGCAGCACGCCACCGTGCATGCTAGCTGCTAGATGATATAAGAAGTGGGTAGTTTAGTAAAGGGCTTTCCAGGGCCACCACGGCTGCTCTACCCTGTGCGAGAAGGTGCGAAAGCCCTCAACGCACCGAGTCCCGAACTCTGACTCGCCTTTAGGGCGAGTTTGGGAAAGCCAATAGACCAAAAGATCAACAAGCGTACGAGAACCCAGAACCCCACTCAAGCCCTGCGATCAAATCAACCATGATTCCGACCAAACGACGGAACTGAAAACCCCAAAACCCAACACAATTAAGCCTAAAGCATTCTAGGCAGCCTAAACCACTTTCCCAATATCGTTTCCAAGATGTACTGTCTACAGTACGACATGCGAAACTAAGCCCTAAGCCTGGTTGCAGAGTTGCCTGGCCCCACAGCAATCTTTGACCTTCCTTCCAGTTATGGTAGGAAGATCTAAACCCAAAAAGCTCAAGATTACGCATGACCAACCAAGAACAAGGCAAAATACCTCTGATGCTCTAAACACTAGGTCACTAGTGTCACTAGGCAAAGTCTCCAGAAAGAGCCGGCCGCAGAGCTTTCTCCGACTCTGGCCTCCAGGACGGACTCCCAGCGGCCGCAGCTGAGCGTCCGCAGGGCCACCTGCGACGGTGCTGCGACGGCGTCAAGCAGCTCTGCATTAGGTTGTAATCGCTTAGGGGGGATCTGGGGGTCTGAAGTCTTGCGTGTGCGGCTGAGAAGCTTGACTAATGATGAGGACACCAGACCGATGATTGCGGCACAGAAGCACCGGCATGTCTTGCTGAACATCGCGATGCCAGAAAAGGTGAAACGACCGACGGAGTCATATCAGGAAATACAATCCACATCACAGCACAATAATCGCTGAAAAAAAGAGATAATCTTGAAGAATGGCGCTGGTAGCCGCAGGACTGAGAGACAAATATACTAATACCACTGCCGCTGTGCATGTTTCGGGGCAGGGCGTTCAACGGGTCTGTCGCAAAACGAAATCATGGCTCGTCTTCTCGGCTTCTGTACCGTACCAGTCCCACCCAAATATCTCCGCAGCCCTCAAGACCGTGAACCACTGGGCGCAATGACCCCTGAACCGCCCGATTGCGAAAAAACCAAATAAGTGCACATCCTAATGCTGACAACACGTAACCCCAAACCTTGAAGCAAAAAGGCTAAATGCCTGGACGCTCTGTGTCCTGATCATGTTTCTAACGCTATAAACCGACTCTGACTGCCTCGGGGCGAAGGGCCATCTACGTGCAAGCCGGACGGAAGTCCGTGAGGCTCGAGCATGGCGACTACTCTAGAAGTTAGCCCTGTCACGTCATAGTCGCCAAGAGTCTCTGCCGAAGGGCCAATACTGATGCACGAGGGCAGCTAGAGCAAGATTCAGGGTGCTTTGCCATGTGAATCTTCAAAGGCCTTGAACGAACTACTCTTAACGGTGGAGCTTGGGGGGCACTTGTTGTTGCCTCCTGCATGGATGAACACGTCGCGCAGCGGGGGGGGGGGGGGGGGGNNGGGGGGGGGCGCTTTGAGATCGACGATTCTCCTCTCCGATCTGAGTCTGTCAAATTCATCGCCCTCCATGTGGAGTCGAAAGCACAAGATTTGAACAAGAATGGCTGCAATCATATATACTATGGAGAGTATCAGAGAGGAGAAAAGAGAGGAGTCATCTCTTGACACATAACCGGGATAGCCAAGGAAAGAAAACACATGAAAGATGTAGTTACCGCAATCTAAACTGCATAAGAACCTTCCGCGAACAAAGAAGCCGCTTCGTTATTGCTTCCGGTTTCTCCGATTTGTTGCTCTGTCGTGCTAGCTTTTCCCTTTTCCTGCTCTCCTTCAGATTCCCACTGCGTTTCTGTCTGCTCTTGGGCGCCAATGCAATTATTGGGATTCGGGGTATTTCCATTTGCTAAACATCACGAATCTAGAGTTTGAGGATTTCGAGTTTCCTGGTCTAGCGGCGTAGGCTCTGAGAATTGGACGTTGCGAAACAAGCAAACAAGTCCAAGCTTACTTGTTGCGGGACTTCTGTTCGGGGCGAGAAGCACGTGTGAAACTCATCCAACCGGAACATTTGGCTTTCTCCGGTCTGTGGGCGCTGGTCGCGTTTAGGATTTGTAGCTTTAACTGATCACATGGCTGTGCAGCATCGCAAACCGCGGTTCCAACGTTTCAGGGTTCCAGTTGCAATAAGAACGATACCATACTACATGCCACGACTGCAGGATTGAAGCTCAAGGACGATGGAGCACGAACCCTAATGCTGCAGCAGCATCATGGCCCTTCAACCCAGCTCCCGGAAAACTCGTTGTGAGGTTGGCAAATTAAGCTCCAGCAACACGATAGCTAAAGCGGAGGGGATCCAAGCGCACCTCATTGTTGAAATGGAACAAAGCTTGCCTTGGAACCTGTGAGAAGTGCAAACTCTTATGAGTGGGGGCGCAAGGTGGACGGGAAGGTCAAACCGCGACGGCCGCGACATGTTCCAGTTTGCCAATAGTGACAAAGAGTTTCAAGCACTCCTCGGGCCAAAAGTGTCTTCGTTGCATTAGAAGCCGAGGCCCGCGTGTTGCGGGGTTCGGCTGTGGAAGGTGGTCACCGGACAATGTCAGGAACCAGCTGGCCAATCAAGGAGAAACCTTGGATCCTTCTACCCTGCAACCCTGAGCAGGAATGCCGGACGTGTGTCCTACTTTCTATAGACCCTGTGCGAGATTGACGCCTTGATCATTCAGATGATGACAACAGCCGGTGTCCAAAGAGCCCTACAGTTCAGTGGCCCTCACCTTCACACGACGCTATGGCACAGTCATCTAACACTTCGAATAGCAATATAGCCTCACGTGCTTAACGCTTCCCGAATATTTACTTCAACAGCAGAAAGAATGCCCGAACAAGTTTGTAAATACGACCACGCTGCAAAACATCAACAGTGTTTCCATGCTGCTAAAGTTGGCCCGCAGCACCTCTGGTCTTCGGGGTTCAGGTAGTAGGACCGTTTATGGCTTTTGAGCATTTGCAAGCCGAGCATTGCTGCATGGCAGAGCCAAACCTCCGAACCTTTTTTACAACTATAATGGATCCATTCATATGACAGGCGCCGAAACGCCGACTGTGGATCCTGTACCGTGATCCTGAAATCCCGAACCCTGTTCCACTGAGCCCTGGCTGTCGCAAACCGTCAACCCGAAACCCCGCAGAGCCCAGTAACAAGACTGCATGCCGCTCTCGGAGCTATCTGCCAAGACCAGTCAAGAGTAACGAGCAAGATGATGAAAGGTTGAGACTCAGCATTGAAAGGGTCACCATGCCGAATGTCACGGATTTGTTGCAGCTCTAGCGACCGCTGCAAGAAAGAGTTGAGACTCCGAAAACGAACAGTAAATCATTAATGTGCGAGTTGGCAGCGAGGGCAGAGCCCCGGCTATAGTCTAGAACCGGTATCTTAAACATCTCTACCCAACCCCAAATAAGCCTACACCGTAAAACCACAAAGCCTTGCATAATCACGCTCCGCGTGCAGACCGACATGTTGGGATCTGGGGATTCGGAGCTCATGCAATTCCGGATGAGGCTCGCGCAGTAGCGTCCTTCTGCACCTGGTCTTTCCCACGAGGGACGAGAAGTACGCGAAAGCAGAGGCCGACCCTGAACCGGAACACTTTCCTTCCTGTCGCCGTTGCTTGTATTGACTGCGGTATCTGCCCACAGAAGCGGATATTTTGAAAACCCTGTAACAGGAACCTGCAGGTGGTGGAGTTTGGAGGTTGACTGGCGCTTGGCATGCCTTCCTTGACAGTGATTGCCGTCCGTCACTACTAACACAAGGGCCACCATCGTGAACACGTTAACCATGGCCAACCAACACCACCGCTGCCACCGCCACCACCACCCACGCACCCCACGCACCCCACGCACCCCACGCACCCCACGCACCCCACCCACCCACGCACCCACACACCCACCCGCCAGCCCGCCCGCCTGCCCGCCCGCTCGACCCGCGCTCGGCAAGCGCCATCTTCCCACCCACCCACCCACCCACCACCACCACCACCACCACCACCACCACCACCACCACCACCACCAACACAGCCATCATAACGACCATCCTTCTTCAGATCAACATTGATCTCACTCAAACACTCATGGTTATCGCCAATCCCCTCCGCATCCCTACGCTGTCAAGAAAACCGTTGACCACCGCGCAGAAAAAACGAATGAAACTAACGAGCCGGCTATCCACAACTCAGAATACGCAAGGCAGTGATGCTGCTCCTGACCATTCATCATCTCTCCGCCAGCAGCATCACAGTATCATCACGATGACGGACAATGTCAGTGACGGAGGTGGTGGCTGTGTGGCTACTGCTGGCACTGATAATGCAGATGGTGATCAGGCGCCTGTGGCAATCTAGGATCGTCAAGGCACCAGCAGCCGCACGACATCCATGTGGCACCGCTGAATGGCCTCAGCCAGGCTGAGGCTAAGGCTCAATGAGTCGTCAAGGTTTAGAGGTGAAGACTGCAGGGTTGTAGCCTGTGTCCCCAAATTCTTCAACCAACCTCCACAAGGCTTTGGGGCTCTGTATCTAGCTTTCAACAAAACAAATGAATTTCTGAATGTCACAACAAACCGTGGCGACAAACTTACTGCAAGCTCAATGCTAATTCCTTTTCGAACAGGGTGGAAACATTGAACTCTGAAAGAAGTCTTGCGTATTAAAATCGCCACCGGAAACCCCGACTGCCCAAACCCGAAAGCCCGAATCCTCCCGCTAACTCGTAAACCCACGTACCGACCTCTGCAGTCCCACAGAACCCGACTCGGATAAACCCTGGATTCCGCTTTGAACCCGGACCCTCCACCCTAGATTCCCTGGATCCTCAACTCAAGCGTTCATCCACAAACCCGAAGTACTCAACGTCGCCCCTAGCAAACCCATGAGCCTTCTGCTGCCACCCGCCAACCCCGAACTTTACAGCTTCAGAAAGGGCCTGATCGTGCCCAAATCCGGGCCACCAAGGCACATCGCGCAAAGGAGAGGAGTTGCCCTGGATCCAGAGCCGTCTTGTGTCCTTTGTGTCGCTGCAACACTCAGGGTTCTTGTGTTTGCAGCTCCACCACAAAGAAACGTGCTGGATTCTTGTATTTATGCGGTTTGCGGTTTGGTGCTTTCCTTTACGGCTTAAATGTTATTTGTACAGAAAACAACGTCAACGGCTTCTTCCAGCGATCCTTCACTGTTCAGGCCTGCACTGGCATAGTTCTTATAAGGCTCCAAAGGGTTTCGGGGTTGGCTGGACTCAAGGATGTGCTCCTGCAGTTCGGAGCCCGCATTGCAGGGTACAAGTCGGTGACTTTGTCTTTCCGTACACGGCATCCGTGAGATTCATAATGGTTTGCGTGCTGCCATGTCTTGCCAGTGCGAATTCCAGCACAAAGAAAGGCAGGATACTTGACGACCGCAGCCTCCATGCGAAGGATGTTTTTTTTGGGGGGCTTGCCTGGCTGCTTGGGTTGCTCGGGTTAGTGGGTCGGGATGGTTGGGTCGGTCCGTTCCGTCGGGGTTGGTGAGGTCTCGGGTCCGTCGGGTCGGGTCGGTCGGGTCGGGTCGGGTCCTGTCGGCCCGGTCGGGTCGGTCGGGTTGCCTTGACTCTGGTCTCTGACTCAACCCGCCCTGGTCTTTGATTCTAGGTGGCCGGATTCCGGAGACTGGTCTCTGATTCGGCTGTGCTGGTCTGTGATTCGTGCCCTCTGGTCTCGGACTCGGCGTCTTTGGTCTCTGATTGGACCCTCTGGTCTCTGATTCGTAGAGTTTTTCCGCGGCCATGGTGGCCGTGGCCGTGGACGTGGTGGCCGCCGTTGGGCACTGTGTTGCAGCATCACTCATCGTGACCAGAAAAACTGACTAACCAGTTGTTTGACAAATCAACAATTGCCGCGTTCACGTCTGCCACAGTGCCACTGGTCACGCCCTGATAGCACATGCTGACCACACTTGCCTTTTTGATGGAATCGGCAGAGTTCGCTGTGAGGCCAGCAGGCAAGGCAGTCTGGCCCCCGGCGACGTAGCCCCAAGATGCCCCAAGTCTTAGGAACTCTTTGTCATCATGGTGCAAGCCGTCCTCTTCACAGCCGGCACACGAGCACGGGAGCTAGACAAAGCTAGATTTTCCTAGATATTTCCTGCATTCAGGAAACCGTGCTGCCAGATATTTCCTGCATTCAGCAACCAAGCTGCTAGACATTTCCTTCATTCAGAAACCAAACAGCTAACCTTTTCCTTCACTCCGAAACCAACCTGCTGAACTTGGGAACTGCACGTTCCGCTTCTGTGGACATGACTGTCTGAGAGTGTTCGACTAGCATTGTCTAGCATTACATATCTAGCATTTTCTAGCATCCCTGGTCCTCCGGGACCTGGCCGGAATCTAGCAGTTTCTAGCATATTGTCCGGCATCATCTAGCATTGTCTATCTAGGTTGGCGTACTGTTTGCATGGTGGGGCACGTGGTTTAGGGCTTAACTTTCCATTCTTGAGGCTAGAAAGCCCAGCACTTTTTTGTTTCCGGACCTACCTACCGTTTCAATCTTTCAAAGCCACGAATCCTCGGCAGATGAGCAAAGTAATTATCTAGCTGTTTCTGGCTTTGTCTAGCCGCCCTTGTCGGGCTAGATTTTCCTGTGGCTGTGAACCTGACGGCCGGGAAGCCACCACCAATGCATTCCCTTGGCAAGTATCTGCTTCGGTGCTAGCGGCGCAAAGGGGGGTGTCGTCTGCGCTCACGGCAATCAACGTGTCACCCCCGTTCGAGAGTTGTTCACCTCCACTGGGCCATGCGAAAGCATTGCCAGAGGTCGGACCCTGTACTCCGGCAGCCACTGGCACGAGCCAGCCGGATATGTCAAATCGATACTGCTACTTGCTCCGACCCACGTACCGGAGCCATCGACCATCCGAAATTGATTCTCACCGGCACTCATCGGCTCCAACAGCACAAGCCTGAAGCTGTCTAGGCCCTGTCCGTTGATGGCAAGGAAAGCACAGCTGCCAGGACCAAGAGCAGCAAGGCCGACACGTGCCAAGCCCAGAGCAAGCGCAAGACCGCTCAAAGATGCCCGCAACTCACGAATCCCTGCCCAAAAACGACCAAAATCACGAGGTTGGAACTCCACGCTTGCTGGGGATGGCACGTACTCCGCACCGGCCTCGATGAGTACCTGCGAGTCGGCGAGTGAACTAAAGGGGCTCGAAACCTGCTTGCGGAAGCCACAGAGGCTGAAAGGGAAAAGGTGTAAGAAAGCCAAAAGCTAAGAGAGGTGTTATAGATCTTCAGCGGACCCCACACACACACACCCGTTTTGGTTGCTCAAGGTCTGCGCCATTGATCCCAATCACATCTGCGCTTAAAGCAGCTCGCAAAAGCCACAGCCCAAGACAATGACAATCTCCAGGGTAAAGCCCTAAGCTAGTGTTGACACGCAGGCTCAATCAAGGATCTGCGGGGTTAGAGTTTAGAGTTTCAGCGGCGCTCTGAGGGGGCATGCCGAGCAGGAACAACGGAAAGAGCTCAGGGTTTGGGAGTTTGGCCTGAGTGTGATTGGCATGGTGATCCAACCCTAGACGTCCCAGAACTGTCCCAGAACCCGAGCCCAAGCAAGCTCAACTCTGAACTCTTGGAAGCCAGCAAAACCTTCTGCAATCACGCGACACCATCAAGAAAAAGCTCTTGTTGAGCTGATATATATAAGCTTCTAGTTCAATCCTAAACCCAGAAAAACCTTTAGCCTAGCCTGATGGTAGTGGCAACCCCTGACTGAGCCCTGGCCCTGGCTCTGCACAGGAGACAACCCCAGGCCCTGGAACAGCCGTCTGTGCCTCCACCACAGCGGCGTGGCCCATGCGCGCTGCGACGTGGAGTGGGGTCAAGCCGTGCTCCGGCTTGTCCTACATAAAAGGAAGGGAGGGGAGGGGAGGGGAGG